ACCGTCGAGGCTACTGGGAGCGGGGCTTCCCCGCCTGCCCTCCTGTCCAGCTGTCCTCCTCCCGGAGACCGGCCGGAGCTGATGACCCCGGGCGACCTCCATCATTCCAGGCAGCAGCTGCAGCAGCAGCAGCAGCAGCAGCGCACTCGGGAATGGGTGGCCAGACATCCCCACGCGCCCGAGGCCCGGGACCAGGGCCCCACCAGAGTCTGGTCAGTGCTGCCAGAGAACTTCCCCTTGGAGCTGGGCTTCGGGGTCCCAGAACCTAACTCAGCGCCTTTAGACCCTCCTGTTTCCCCTCGTTCTCTCTCCCCTGCTGTTCCGGAGGCCTGGCCCGGGAACCCCCCGTTGGCAGTCTTTCGCAGCATTCGTTCTCAGCTGTCCCTCCAAGAACTGGATGACTTTGTGGACCAGAACAGTCACAGCAGCGAGGAGAGCAGCAGTGGGCCCAAAGAGTCCCCTGGGGGTTCTGAAGAGGGCCTGCACATCGCCCTAGGAACCCCAGATTGGAGAAAGCTCCGGAATTCAGGTGGCCGCCTTTCTCCGAAGGAGGGTGACTGCCGCAGGAGCCCTCAAGGCCTCAGAAACCCAGGGGATGGGCACGCCCCTCAGCAGGTTCCACCTGGGGCCAATGGTCTTGCAGGCCAGCCCCAGGAGCCCTCGTCCTCGCCGGCTCCCAGGTTAAGGAGATCCCTCAGGATGAGCTCTCGGGCAGGGAGAGCCGCATTGTCCTCCTCGGATGAGGAGTGTCTTGAGGAGGACTTCCTGAAAAGGAGCCGGCGCCCACCGCGGTCCAGGAAACCCTCCAAGGCAGGAGCCGCGTCCAGCCCCAGGGTGGATGCTGCGTTGACACCGAACCCTGCTGATGTGAAGGCTGCTGTTGCTGCCAGGGGTCATCTACACAGTGTGTGCGCCCCAGGTAGGCAGGCGCCTGCAGCCTTGGTCCCGCACAGACCCGAGCACAAGCCGTCTCTGGTGCCCCTGGATGCCAGGGAGCATGAATGGATGGTGAAGCTTGCCACTGGCTCTTGGATTCGCGTGTTGACTTTGTTTTGGGAGGATCCTCAGCTGGCTTTGCACAAGGACTTCTTGACTGGGTACACGGCTTTGCACTGGATAGCCAAACATGGCGACCTCAGGGCCCTGCAGGACTTCGTGGGGAGTGCCCAGAAGGCAAGGGTTGCTCTTGATGTGAATGCGAAGTCCAGTGGTGGGTACACCCCTCTGCACCTTGCAGCCATTCATGGCCACCAGGGGGTCATGAAATTGCTCGTGGAAAGGCTGGCTTCGCGAGTGAATGTCCGGGACAGCAGTGGGAAGAAGCCTTGGCAGTATCTGACCCGTAATACCTCTGGGGAAATATGGCAGCTCCTGGGAGGCCCTCGGGGCAAGCCTATTTTTCCTGTCTATCCCTTAGTCCGAAGCTCTTCCCCCACCAGGAAGGCCAAGAGCCGGGAGATATCTAGACACATCACCCGAAAGACTTCCCTTGCTGCGCTACTCAAAAGTCAGCACCACAGGTGGAAATCGGCCAACCAGTATGAGAAGTTCCCCCCTCCCAAGGAAAGAGAAGAGTACAGTGACTAAGGCGGACCCCTGTCTCCCACACGCAGCCACTGCACCTCCATCCTTGAGCTACTCGGTCAGAGGATTCAGGGGGAGCAGAAAAACTGCCAAGGAGTTGGTAAAGAGAGAGATCAAGTGAGATGGCCTCCCTAGTGTTTACCTGCCTGGATTTTTTGTCAGCTCATCGTGGACCTCAGGGTTTATTCAAGCTTCCGACAGCTCAAGTCCTTGGGCCAGTGAGACCTCTACAAGGGGCAGAGCCACGTGCTTAAAAGCAGCAGGCGTCCTTCCTCTTCCCTGTCACCTCTGAGCACTGTAAGCACATTGTTCTCTGTAGCAGCAGTACCAGGCCTTGGCTAGAGGGGACAGCTGTCTAACAAGAAGGGAGGCACTTCCAGGAATTGACAAAGCTCAAACAGAATCTGCTCTGGCTGGTAGTTCTCTGGCTTCTCTTCATTTGGAGAATAATTTGGCTGCGAGTGGAAAGCTCCAGATTTGAAATCAGATGGCCAGGCCCCTCTTTTCTTTTTTTTATTCTTTTAAAAAATCTTTTTTCATTCTTTTTCCCTCCCTCCCTCCCTCCCT